CACCTACGGTCTCTTCGCATACTCCTAGGGTTTTAGGGGTGATTACCCCACTTTATACATAGTTTTATCTTAAGTTTTGTCTGGAATTTGTATTGATTTAAAACCCCTGGGGGGGCAAAAAAGTTTAAAAAAAGGTACCAGGGTTGCATTGTTTTAAATTTCAACATGTGGGTATTGTATGCCATTCTTGTACAACTATAATTTTGAAAGAAAATATCATAGATGGATTAATGAAAATGTCTATATTAACGTAAAATAAGACATTTAATGTGCCCAAGAGTGATTATTATTAGTACTGCGTAATAATTTGAGATCGCCGTATTAGCAGAATGCCATAAGGTGAAACGCCGAAAAGCGGGACCCTACTGTATTTATGGTATAATGGAGAATTACTCATTGTACAGGACTAGCAGCCCAATTGCCTTGAACTCAGTTATGGCTGTGGAGGCTTTTATCAGGACCCTACTGTATTTATGGTATAATGGAGAACTACTCATTGTACAGGACTAGCAGCCCAATTGCCTTGAACTCAGTTATGGCTGCGGAGGCTTTTATCATCTAAGTTAAAAGAAACTAGTTTACAGAACAAAATTCCTAGTGGCTAGTCATCTAATCCCAACTGGTTCACCAATATCCAGTCAGTGGTAGTAACTGTAGACCTATAAATAGGTTCACTCTGATCCTTGCACTGGAGTAATCCTACCTTGGTGGGAAACAGGTGTTAAATACCCCAAACAGTGTGTATCTTGAAATATTTCTAACAAAAGCATTTGTACTTACCTACTCATCTTCCTAACCTGCTTTTCCATTTATTTCCTTATGGGCTGCTGCTTTCCTCCTCTAGAGAAATGTCTTCCAGCAAGTTGGGCTTCAGCACTTACAGTATGGCTGTTGAGTGGATATTGATTGCAAGTGTAGAAACTGTGCACTGTATATCTTCCTGTCTGTCTGTCCTCATTTCCAATGTTGACTATGTTTTGCTGTATATATACAGCCATTCCAGACACTTTATTGAACATATGTCACACCCATCTTGGAGTACACAGCAACAGTATGGATCACATGCATACCTGAGAAAGTTTAAGAAACTGGAAAAAGCGCAGAAGTATGCAACACGACTAGTTCCAGAGTTAAAGGGCATTAGCTACAAAGAGGCTAAAGGAATTGAAGCTAAGGACAAGAGAAGATGATAACAACATACAAAATACTCAAAAATTGGCAGGACAGGCTGTTTGAAAGGAAGAAAACAAGTACTTGGGGGCACAGCTGGAAGTTAAAGAAACATGATTCACAGGGATGTCAAGACATTATTTCTTCAGTCTCAAGAGTGATCAGGAATAACCTTGTAGTAGTAGTAGTAGTAGTGGAGGCAGATTCCATACATAGTTTTAAGAGCAAGTACAATAGGGCCACAAGACTAGGCAAGAGTGAATCTGGCAAGCAGAAAGGGGAGTGGTGGAGCCAGGAGCTGAGACTCAACCCCTGTAACCAAGCTTACTGAGAAAGTGACGTCATACGCCAAAATGACAACAAAGGATTTGGAACACTACCTTGGCCTTGCTTGAGACAGTAGTGGCAGGCTTTGAGAGTACTGACACTAATTTTGAAAGAAGTTCTACAGTGGGTAAAATACTATCAAACTGTTTAGCATGCTACAAAGAAATTCTTTGTGAAAAAAGCTACAGCCACCCCAACCTTCAACAGCAAGTACCTTTGATATACCTCTGACGAGTTTCAAGTCTCGCTACTTTCAGAGCCCGGCCATGGGCCAGGCTCATCTGGTGCTTGCCTGGTCAACCAGGCTGTTGCAGCTGGAGGCCTGCGGCCCCCACATATCCATCACAGCCTGGATGATCTGGCACCTGGTGAAGATTCTTGTCCAGTTTCCTTTTGAAGGCTTCTGCACTTGTTCTAGCTGTGTTTCATAGTCTTACCATTCAACATTATAATAATCCTAACTAAGCCCTAAACCCACAGGGGTTATACAGCACTGTTTACCATTCAACAACTTTCACCGTAAGCAAAGGATGAAAATATTTTAAGGTTAGCCATACAGTATTGTAGCATTTTTTATATTTTTTTTGCAGTTGTTTTAGGCCTAGCACTATTGCACACTTGCACTGGCAAGTGAGAAAAAAGGCTGTGATTCGCCTTAAGATGATATTCGCTTTAGGGCAGTAGTCTCAGACCTAACCCACTTTAACCCTTTGAAGGTTTCGGCCGTACTAGTACGGCTTACGACCCAGGGTTTTTGACGTACTAGTATGCCTAAATTCTAGCCCCCTCAAATCTAGTGGGAGAAAGCTGGTAGGCATACATATGAAAGAATGGGTCTATGTGGTCAGTGTGCGCAGTATAAAAAAATTCCTGCAGCACACAGTGCGTAATGAGAAAAAAAAATCTTTGACCGTGTTTTTGGAATAAAACAGCGACTTTGCACTGTATTTTCGTAAGGTATTTATTGTTGTATTCTAGTTTTCTTGGTCTCATTTTATAGAATGGAAGACATATTACAGAAATTGAGATGATTTTGACTGGTTTTACAATGAAAAGTACCTTGAAATTGAGCTCAAAGTAGCAGAAATGTTCGATTTTTACCAAAGTTCAAAAGTAAACAAATCATGCCAAGCGTCCAATACACGTCAACTGGTGAATCTAATATTCTTTCACAAGTGCGCTGATATTATTTATACCATTTTTACACTAATGCTGCAGTCCGCATAACAGTAAATCTTCTATTTTTTGTAAGAATAAAAATTGAAAGTGGAAAGCCAAAGAAATATAAGAGGGGCCCAGGGATGTGACTAACGAACAGAGGAAATGTTATTTTAGTGCCAGGAATGTCTTTCTTGTTTATTCTGGACCCTATTTGGAAATTGGCATCATTTGAAATTTGTGTGAAATTGGCAAAATTGCTAAATTCTGACCACTGTATTGGATAGTTGAAATCAGTAAATGGGTGGTTTCTTGTACTCATTCAATAGAAAAAATGGAGTTCTAGAGAAATAGTTATGATTTTTGTCGACTAGTATACTGGAATTGGCCTAAAATAGAGCTCAAAGTTGGCAAAATCGCAGATGCATAAACATCGTCGAGACCGCTAACTTCGCGAGAGCATAATTCCGTAAGTTTTCCATCAAATCTCATACTTTTGGCGTCATTATGATCGGGAAAAGATTCTCTATCTTTTCATTAGAAAAATAATTTTTTTTTTTTAAATTTGGGGGACCCTGAGAACAATTCTCGGAGAGGGCCTGTTGACCCTCAAAGGGTTAATAGAAAGGTATGCCTGTGCTAGTACGTCAAGACATATTGACATCGCTTGAGCACTAGTATGTTGGAGACAGTTAACAGATTAAACAGATACCAGAATTATGGAACTTCAGTGTCCAAGAGGTCATCCACGCCTGTGAGGAGTTTCTGCACCACCTGAGTGTACCGTGACACTTAAATGTCTTAAGCACTCCTCAATCCAGTGGTTGAATGAAAATGTCGTATTTGGTGGCAAAAACACTACCTTCACATATGAATCCACATTCTGCAAGAGATGAGGATGATTACTGGAATGATCCTGAGTGAGGAGAATCTTTAGTAAAAGGTTCTTTCTTGCTAGGTACATCTTGACTTAAGGAATAAAATATTGTTTGAACTACTTGATAAATAACACCTCATTCATCCATGGGTTCTGGTTAAACAGCTAAATAACAAAGTATTTTTACCTTTTAAAACATGGGGATTTCTGGGAGCAATAGGTATAGGCTTGAACTTAAAATCACCTGATGCATTACAATAGAAGTTAAATGATCACTTGCTGCCTTAATTTACACTTACAATTTTCTCTTGCTTGCTGATGAAGATCTAGATGATGGCAACTTCTTCCAAATTACATCAAGTCTCATCATCATTAAACACTTGCTCAAGACTGTAGTTTGAGGAAAATATCCCACCCCACCTCAAAGCAGTTTTTCCACTACAACATACATTTTACAAAAAAAATTAAATAGCGAGTAACTGTAACTGCAAGTTATGGTTGCATGAATTATAACATATTAGATAGTGGATAGATTTAGTCTTATCTATCTACTTCCATGAGGAAGTAGAAAAGAAGTCTTCATAAGCCACACGTGTCATAAGAGGCAGCTAAAATGCCGGGAGCACAGGGCTAGTAACCCCCTTCTGTATAAATTACTAAATTTAAAAAGAAAAACTTATTTTTTCTTTTTAGGTCACCCTGCCTTAGTGGGATACAGCTGGTTCATCGAGGAAGAAGAAAAAAATTAACAAACTGGCTGTCTCCCACCAAGGTAGGGTGACCCCCCCACCAAAAAAAAAAAAAAAAATCATTCAGAGGTATGCAGATACCAGAATGTCCCTCCAAACAACAAATATCCCAAACCCCTTCTTTAGAGTGCAATCAGTGTACTTTCCACCTCCAGGACTTAGTCTGGTTAACTGGTATCCCTGAATCCCTTCACAAAATGTTACCTTGCTCACACCCCCAACAGCTCATAAAATGGAAATAAATGGTATAAAATACCGACACAATGGAAATATAAACACATATGCAGTATAATGTGATCCTTTATTGACAACGTTTTTGCCCACACAGTGGGCTTTTTCAAGTCACAAACAGATCTACCAAACGTTGTCAATAAAGGATCACATTATACTGCATGTGTGTTTATATTTCCAGCTCATCAAGTCCCAAAAACAAAACCATTTGCCTCCACTCAGTCCTATCTAACATGCTAAGACAGACACACAGACAGACACACACACACACACACACACAACACACACACACACACACACACACACACACACACACACACAACACACACACACACACACACCACACACACACACACACACATACACACACACTCACCTGCAATCACAAATAGTAAAGTACAAAAAAAAAACAAAGCATGCAAACACCCTCATTCACTCTTTTATATATTTTATTGACATATTAACACTAGGGAAACAAAACAGGTAACAACATAAGAAATACTTTATTATTTACATGATATATCTGTAAAACAGCAAACTGTGCATGTGTTATTTATTATTCATTTACTTATTGTAGATACAATCTTGGCATAGATTTGAAATAAGACTGTCCTTTTGTACAGCTTTTGGGTTCCTCTACACCAGGCACCCAAACACAGAAATGATACCACTACTTAAGTCATAATAAATAAGGTCAGAGAGTTTGGATTATAGGAAGGACACTTTCTGTAAGAGATGGTCTTGTATGCGTGAGTGTTTGTGTGGTTGAGTGAAGTCTCGGCCAAACTCCGAGTACCTCCATACCCCAACAACCCTCGTCCAAGGCAAGAACACACACAGTAAACGTGTAGGTGGGAGTATGTGCTGCACACCACAGCTTTAAGGAGAAATCCACTTCAAGGATCACTTCTTTAACAGAGGAGTGACAATGGTATCATTAAATCTATGCGAGGGAAAATCCTAAATGATGTGAAAATTGACTGATGTTCATGACATGGTGGAAGATGAAGAGCAGAATTATCTGGCAAAATAATGAACACAAAAATGAAAGTTAAAAAAAAAAAAAAAGTTATGTAAAAAAATTCAACAAATCATATTAAAATAAGATACGAGTGGAGTTAAAATATGCCAAGAAAAATGCTATCAAGAAGATAAGGAGAGAAATGAAGGAGTTACAGTGAATGAGAGAGATATGAGTAAATTAACAATAGGAAAGGTCAATTAAGTGACTTGTTTGGGGTTGAGACTGTGGAGAATGGTAACACGCACATTAAAGCAGAGTTCCCTTATCTGACAAGTCCTGGCCAATGGAAGGCTCTGAGGCACAGTTCTTGATCCACAGTAAAACAATAATTTACATGCACCCCATTATGTAAGAAAAGATGAAAACAAAATCATAACTGACTAAAAAAAATAAGGTCAATGAAATAATGGCTAATTAAGATATGAATGATTACTGAGGCATGCCATGTTATTGTTAACGTTTGAGGATTAAGTTAGGGAGTTAGGATCACACTAGACAAACTTTCATGGGGTGCATAATCCACTATATATTCATGGATGGATATTGTACTGTTGCCATTATTATTCACTAATGGCATTTACATATCACATTTCTACACACTCTCCTTAACACAGAAAATAGTTTGTCTCAGTTACTCTAATTCTCTTTAACTGGCTCAGAGCCTATGGGAACTGCATAATTTTGTGCATATTTCTGTTAAACAAATGTTTAAACCATAAATCAATACTGCATAACACTACCTAACCTGAATTTCTTCTGGTAAATAAGTAAAAGCAATAGAAATGAGGCAGAGATGTGTGGTAAGTGAGCAACCGCATAGTTTCCTATCCCAGAAATCAACAACCACCACTACCTGCTTGGCAACAAGACTACACCCAGATCAATCACCAAGTAAACTTGACCATGGAAGTTCAGCTGTCCCATTTCACCAGGGACACAAATTCTAACTCCACCAAAAATATATTAAATAATGGAACATGTGCTTTCAACATTTTAATAAATTTGTAAACAAACAATATTGCAGTCATTGGTTCAACTTCACAGGTGCAGAACCAATAATTAACCAACAATTAGTTAAGAACATGTTGTACCAGTTTTGGCTTTGTCAATTAAGGTTGAGCCTATGTATTTGAGAATAAACAACAAAAAAGGAAACCGACAATGCACAGAATGGTGGTATCCTCCAGTGCTCGGGCATACTAGGAAGACAATTTGTGTACACACCAAAAGGAGCTTGTGTCCCTAGTGAGCTTTCAACCACCTACCCTCATCACCCACTTCTGGTTACCACCTGGTATCAACATGGCAAGCATTTCTGACAAAAGGACAAACATCACAAAAACAAAATTTACATGGAAAGAAACAAGGAAATATCAAATCATATTCATCTTGAGTAGCAAGAAATATCAATGGCTTATATGAAATGTGTACTCAATGAGATGAAAATATTATACAACATATGAAAATAATCTAATATAAAGGATGCAGTGATATGAATGAGTGAGAAATGACAAGGCAGGAGAAAATGAAGACACCTAGTTATAGTTGTGTTGATATATTTCATCACAGAGAACACAGTTTGTCAGATGCAACAGATGATACTTTGTGAATTATCCAAACAATATGGGAGGACTTCTAAAACACCAGCTGCCAATGCATCTGTTGTAAGGGACGGGAAGAGACAGTCCACTCATCATGATCAATGTCCAGTGGCAACCAGAGTTAAGGAGATTATTAAACAGACAACCAGAAGAAAAAAGTAAAAATTATCTTTCATCAGTGATATGAGAATAAATCTCATTTAGGTTTGTGACAAGAAAATAATTTAATGCATTCATGGTTCAATATAATTTAGGACTACAAGTACAAATATCAACTTTATATCATCTATAACAAGCATATGAGCATCCATAAAATTAAGTATACTTAACAATATTGCCCTAAAAGGGCAAAATAATTCAAAACATTGCCATACATTTGTCATTATCAACTTTCGTTACTTACAAAAGTTCAGGATTTCCGTGGGAATTAAAGCCCAGTACAAAGTACTATATCAGTAACATAGTTATGGTCAGTACCATTATTAAATCTCAAAATATGTACAAAAATATACATCTGGCAGGGAGTGTGTGCTCAGTTACATGCCACTATATATTTTTTTTTAAGTTACCAAACAGGCCAAAGGACCAGGCAGGTGTACAGTGGGCACAGCACATGTGAAGCAACCCCTCAGGAGCACAACCTTTGGCAGTTTCTTGGACCACATTTATTCAGATGTCATTGTATAACCCTCTCACAGTTCTGCATTACTCCTATTAATGCATTTCCTGACGTGTAATATTAATTTTCCTCAGTCTTACCTTCCCACAGAGGAGGAATTGCTGTCTCTATTTCAAGGTTACCTCACTGCTGGCCTATAACAAGTGTATTTTTTTTTTTGTCCCTTGTTCAATATTTACTGTGCCAAAGATACTATAGCTAAAAAAAATCTATTGGTTAGGTAACCAAATTTCATACCTCACCTAGTGTCATGATTACTATTCATGATGTTATTCTGGCCATATTAAGCATATAAATAGTTACTCTCAAGTACCATAAACATAGGAGAATGGTTTTTGGAGAACTTTTCTGGAGAATGGCCATGAATGCACTTCAACATCATAAGAGCACACAAGGCATTGTCTTCACACACATGGACCTCTCAGCAAATTTGTACATTTTGGGTGGGAAATATAACACAAAATAATAATAATCATAAAAAAACATTGAGACTACTTGTATAAAATCATCCATAACTAAATTTAATGATAAGGCATCACAGTTGTCACACCAGGAAGCCAAATGTTTGGGATCTTGGGCTCCCATGCTGCATGTTAACTAGCAAGACATAACATTAGCCTCATGTATTTGCCACATTTACTGCAGTATTTAATTAGCATAACTTATTCCTATGCCTTTCATCTCCAGTGAGATCTGAGAACAACCTATAAAAATTTCACATAGCCTGATTACACTACACTAATCAACTTATTCATTTCCTTGAGTATCTGCATCCTATTGAATGAGTTACTTCATAGTATGCAAAATATGCTCACTTATTTGATGACAAGGCATAGAGAACTGTGCAGGAAATCAGATTTCTTGAGATTGCTACACCAGACATTCCATTGCCCATTATGCTGAATCTCTTCATATCTTCTTTCAAGTTCTTCTGGAGCAGAGCTGGATGTGATCAAACAAACCCTGGGTGTTAAGAACAGCAGTGGCAGATCCTAGATGTGCACAGCAACAACTAGTCCTTGAGTCTGTGGAGGCCATACTGCACGTAGCACACAAGTTCATACAAGGAAGAGTGGAGGGTTAATGGACTAACCTGACGGTCCAGCTCTATAAAGAAATCTGTAAAAAAAAAAAAAAAGGAAAAAAAAAAAAAAAAAAAAAAAACATAAATAGGAATGAACAAATGTTAGGCACTACAAGTTGCAAGTAAAATACATGTGAATTTGAATGTACAACTGGACCCTGAATTCATAAGCTACGGTTCTAGAGGTCTCTTGAATCTGGAATTTCCTAATAGAGATTGGTCAGGAACTAATGACTTAATATTCGTGATTTTCCTAAGGTTGAATTATAAACATTTTTCTTTATTTTTTTTTCTTTTACAGAATGCAATGATATTTTGAGTTCTCTTTATTTACTCATGTGTGTGGATATTTCATGATTTGTTTTAAAAGAGACTGGCTAAGAATTGTAAATTAAATAATTACATAGTTTTGTTGGCTTGTGATAACCACCACTGCTGCTCGCTTAACTGGACATGTCAGTGGGTGAGGTGCTCAAGAGTGGGAGCTAAGCTCAATCACGCCACATCCTACCCTTCACAAAATTACCCTCATCACTGCCTTCCCACACTATATACCCAGGTACTAGATACTCTTCACCACAACAGTGAAGGAGTGATGAGCCTAGTAAATCACCATAACAATGAGGGAGTGACGAGCATAAGTAAAGACAATGCTATTAATGAGGTAAGAAATGAATAGGAAAGTGAGAAAGAGAGAGGGAGGAAATCCAGCTGCTGCCCATCCCCATACGTTTGTTATCCAAATCTTCCCACACCACACACCCAACCACACAAAGAGGAAGTGGTGAGAATACACAAAGAGCATTTTGTGTACCATATATATAATAAAGAATACTGTATTAGGTACAATACAAGAGAAAAGGTGAGGGGCGCGAATAGGAGAGTGAGAATGAGAAAAAGAGGGCCACAGTTCAGGAGCTGCCCTTCTTTTACCCAACTACTGCAGTAATCACAGAACAGGTGGAGCTCAAACCCACAGCAAGCTAGTCCTAAAAATAGCAGGTTAATGTGCTGTCCACTGGAACCTTTTTTTTTTTTTAAACATGTCAGCTATCTCCCACTTAGGAAGGGTGACCCAAAAAAGAATGAAAGAAATGCTTTCACCATCATTCACATATAATCACTGTCTTTGCAAAGGCACTCAGATACGAGAGTTTAGATGTCACTCCAAACAGCCAATATCTCAAACTCCTCCTTGAAAGTGCAGGTATTGTACTTTCCACCTCCAGGACTCAAGTTCGGCTAACCAGTGACCCTGAATCCCTTCACAAAATATTACCCTGCTCACACTCCAACAGCTCGTCAGGTCCCAAAAACCATTTGTCTACATTCACTTCTATCTAACACGCTCACAAATGCCTTCTGCATGTCTGAGCCCCTTGCACACAAAACCTCTTTTAGTCCCTCCTTCCATCCTTTTCTAGGATGACCCCTACCCCTCCTCCCCTTCACTACAGATTTATACACCCTCCAGGTTGTGCTATTTTGTTTCAGCCTCTCTAAATAACCAAAACACCTCAACAACCCCTCTTCAGCCTTCTGAATAATACTTTTAGTAACTCCACACCTCCTAATTTCCACACTACAAATTCTCTGCATAATATTTACACCACACACTGCCCTTAGACACGATATCTCCACTGCCTCCAGCAGTGGAGATGTGATAGGTTGTGAACTTTTGTAATGAAAGGTGGAAATTAATACAAAAAATTATTCACAAACAGGCAGCAGTAACACAATAAGTGGGGAAGAGAAAAGTGGACTACTGTACTAAACATGAATGCATCTGAGAAAGCAAAAACCAAGAAAAATACAGTATAGCCTCTCCTCACTGAGCGATGTACTCGTTTACTGACAACTCAGATTTGCAATGGGCTCTCTGACCAGGATGCATACCTAAATAATGTAGAGCTGATTTCCTCTATTCTGTTTAATATACAGTACATTACTGTATAAACATTTAAAAATGTACCAGAAATGTTATAAATGGTGCAAAGGTGACAATAAAACAATATCAAAGATGGTTGACATAAACCCACTACCATTATTGTATGCTCCTCACTTAGCGATGAATTCGTCTACCGATGGTGTCTTAGGAATGGAACTCTGTCGTTGAGGAGAAGCTGTATTATTGTAATGAAACAGCATGGGGATATTTGTTGTTGTTTGTTGTTGGAGGTTTATAGGGCCATTACAGCTTATGCCATATTGAGTCCAAGTCAGCAGTTGGCCTTCCCAAGCCGTAGAAAACCATGAACAAAAAATTTTCATGCTTAAGCTGCCTTTTTTAAAACATTATGGTGTGAATCCTCAGTCGAAACCATAAAGGAATATGGTATATATTGAAAAGAAATATAAATAGTGATCTACAGTATTAAAAAGTCACAATAATGTGCTCAATAGAAGAGTTTCCTGCATGTTCTATTATGTTACTATTTCTCATGCAGACTGTAAATATATTTGCACAAATTGCCTTTATTCAGTAAAAGTAAGTGCATTTTACACTTCTGGCTTTACCAAACCTTAGACTGGGAACATAAATAAGATTTTCAATTTAAAACTGTCAGATGGTTTGCCTACAACTGGCCCAGCTTTGAAAGCAACATTTTCACATGACCCACATGCTAAGCGAGACTTTTACTCTAAATGTATTTTCCAATCCCAGTAAACAAGATTATAAATACCGAGCTATAATTGGTCATACTTAGTTGAAGAACTTCTTTTTACATGCATGCCGAAATGAGTGAAGAATAAAAATGACACCAAATAACATTTTTATATATTAATACAGACAGTGATGTGGCCCATAATAAAGCAATCATCCATGAATGCTACAGATGTCCACCATTGGAACCTGTTTTCATTTAAGTACAGAAATAAGACAATCTGACAATCAATCACCCATTGATATACATCTTCAATATGAACATATTACCTAAACTTCTCTCGTTCATACATCTGGTGACTTCTGCATCCCCTATTTTATTTTACCTGCATGTCATGCTTGAAATATTAATGTTAAGTAAATGTATACAATATATGAACAAATATAAAAAAAAATCTAACCTTGCATGCCATTTTGAAAGACATAGTGGTCTGCTTCTATCCACATATCATGAGCTGAGGCAAGGTGGCTAGAGAGCTGGTTCTGCTTGATGATAAGGGCATGGATGTGAACAGGCACAGGTACAGCAGGTACTATGGCATGCGCCCCCTGAGGCGGTTGTGGATGAGGGGGTGTTTGACCAACCGGAGGAGGAGCAATACCTCCCTTAGAGCGTGTGCCCTCTGTGCTTGTGGTGTAACCTGATGATTGAGAGCCTTCTGAACCAACTGATCCAGCAGGCGAAGGGGTCTGTGACAAGTGAGAAGGAGAACCAGTGGCTCGTTGACCCCCCCACTGCTGACCGCTACTGCCAGCTGTTTCAACACTTCCAGCTTTGTTGTAACTCTGAAAAATTAACTACTGTTGAAAAAACCTCTGTAATAATTACTACATTCATGGGGGAGTGCTAAACCCAAAGGGGTCATACAGCACTCTAATAAAACACATGAGTTCAAGCCCCACCTGTTACGTGATTTCTTTGCAATCATGTTATTTATTGACATTGTGTATTCTTTCTAGTAACATTTGTTGAAACAGTAAGGTATTCTCATTTGTTGCTATCTTTCTTCTTTTATCAACAAACCGGCTGTATCCTATTGAAGCAGGGTGGCCCATAAGGAAAAATGAAATACAGGGAAGGGGTTAATAGCCCCTTGCTCCCAGCATATTAGTTGCCTCTTACGACACGCATGGCTTACGGAGGAAGAATTCTGTTCCACTTCCCCATGGAGAATTTGTTGCTATCTAGTTCTTAAATACAATACTGTACAATGCATTCTGATTTCCTCTCTTTGGGAAATAAGATGAAGCAGAGGGTTCTTCCGAGTCCTACTCTGTCATCACAAATCTTTGGACCAAGTAATTTAAAGGACTTAGGCATGTGGGGTTGTTTGTCATGCTGGAAAAACATACACTAATAATTTGAAAGGTGTGATCCTATTGTTCGTTGCACCTTCTTAATGTGCAATGAAAATAAGCTCAGAATTCATGAAAAACATGGAAATGAATAAACTCTAAGCCAAGTATATCTAAACTACTTGCCTTTCTTTCTTTCAACTGGCATTTAAGGTAGATCAATCAATTTGGAATTTAAAGGTTTAACTGCATCAAATAAAACTCACGAAATCGTAATGACACGATTGCAAACAAACCATACCACAGGCGGGATTTGAACCCGCGGTCAGAGAGTCTCAAAACTCAAAACTCCAGACCGTCACGTTAGCCACTGGACCAGCTAGCCACAATAAGATTCGTCCAACTAGGTATATTTCTACACCATAGGAAGGTTAGCATAGGCACCACTGTGACCACAAATGCAAGTTTTTACAGACGAATCTCCAGCTAGTGTGGCCGTGACGAACTCTAGCTCAAGTCCCTTCACTGCCATCAACATGACTCACGAAATCGTAATGACATGATTGCAAACAAACCATACTACGGGTGGGATTTGAACCCGCAGTCAGAGTCTCAAAACTCCAGACCGTCGCGTTAGCCACTGGCCCAGCTGGCTAATGCGACGGTCTGGAGTTTTGAGACTCTGACTGCGGGTTCAAATCCCGCCCGTGGTATGGTTAGCATCAAATAAATATTCATAAATCCATTTAAGATATGCACTATCTTTTATATGTTAAATTCTCAATTTTTCTAACACAATCAGAGACTGAAGAATGAGGATTAATGTAATTATGGAAATCAGTCATCTTGATTTGGGTGACTAAGTTTTACACAGTATGTAATATGAGAGAAAGTGCAGCAGTGGATTTTGTTTTACCATACAGAATAAAAAGAAAATGTAATAAACTGAAATGAGTAGTGATGTATTAATATATACAGCAATGGCAAGGGAAATGTGAAAAAGAGAAATATTAATACTGATGTGAAAAAAGGATAACATCATACTCCTTCCACTCTTGACTTATGAGAATTAAACATGGTGACAGAATGCACCTACATCTATATTTTTATGTATTGTGCCTTCCAGAATGAGAGAGAAATCTAAAATTTAAGCTATGATAATAAACTAAGGAGAGAATGTGATATAAGTATGGAGGCATAAGAAAAATTTTTTTTTAAGGATGATACACAGATGAGAAAACAACTTACACTATGACAAAGGAAAAATGAAGGATTGCTTGCTAACTGGATAGGCCTCTTAATGCAATAAGAGGTATAAAACAGGTTAGAAAATCGTATTTCAATATAACTTATTCCTCTGCATGTATTTGTACCTTTTTTTTTTAGAAACATCATTTCTACATCCATGTTTTACTTTCACAGATCAAGCTTAAAAGGAGTATACCATCATACAACTTTTCTTAGAAATCAAAAGTAGTACTTCTTTCATAACCCTTCCTGAGCATTCCATTATTTTTCTTCCTTGCACTAGTCTCTATATTATATATAAACCCTCCTTTTGGTCCATATTATATATATTCTACTGATCTCAATGAAATTAACCTTTTTCAGTATTTCTCAGAACATTTCAAACAAAAATTATTTCTTTCTGCAGTATACAAAATGTAGTTTACATGTAATAAAATATTAAGCACAAAAGAAAGCCACATTTTATCAATTTTATTCTGTAAGAAAGAGCAAAAATATTAAAATGAGGAATGAAAAGTAAAAGCAATTTTTTTGTCTTCAGGTTCCATGAATCACTTAAAGGAATAGCAAATCATTTGTACATATAGTACTTTAATCATTTTTATACCCAGTTTAACCCATTGCCATTCTTCCATGAGCATGTGCACCTTCTCTCTCTCTCTCTTGCTGAATGCACTGAGCACATTAACCTAAAGCCATATAAACAGAAATGGATTAAGATTAATACTACACAAGAGAAGAAGAAAGTTTACCTGAAAGTATTTATTGAGCTGCCTCTGGTTTTCCTTGTGTTCATTCCTCCGCATCTTATAAATCTTTAACGACAGTAAACTTTGACATCGCAAACTGCAAAAAAAAAAAAATAAAATAAAAGAAAAAATTAAAAAAAAAAAAAAAAAAAAAAAAAGCTACCACTAGATGCTTAAATACCTATCATTAATGTTTTTTGCCACAATGCCTGTTATCTAATGTATCCACATTTATTAAAAGACAAAATAAGAGAGGAAAACTTTCTCCTCACCCTATCATTGCAATTTAAAAAAGTAATCCTACAAACCCTCTCGAAACTCTGTATTGTTTACAGGTATGCAGTGCAGTATGCACCAGTTATCAGACATTTCTAGCCAAGAGCAGTGAATATATGTACATGTATAGTATAATTCACAGCAGAGGGGGAACATTTTGATTTGATATAAAAAGTAATTTGATACCTTTTAAGGTAATTGCTTACCTAAACTACTGATATGATACATTTACCAACAATAAACAATAGTGTTGGATTTCTGATGTAGTTCTGATTAATACATAGTTACTTTAAAGATTTTGTTGTTTTAATTACTTAATCCTACCTTTTCCGAGACAGGAATAATTCAGTGTCAGTACATCATGCACAGCATAGACTGTGACAAGTCTTAAAATATAGGTACAGCAACAAGTATTTGTTTCTTTTTACAAATATGATTATTTCACTAAATTAACCCTTTCAATGTTACTCACGTAAGTCAGTCTTAATTATAGCATCCTCACTTATGATGTGACTGGAAATTTTTGGCCTAGACATGAAATAATGGATCTGTGCAGCAGGTGTGTACAGTATATAAAAAATTCCTGCCCCATGAAGTGCATGATGGGAGCAGTTAACCTTTAAACATGAGTTTGGTTTAAAATAGCATATTTTAGGGCAGTTTTCATAGTTTTATTGGTGTTGCTTAATATCAATTGATAGAATGGAAGACATACTAGTGAAATAGCAACCCATCTTCCCAAGAAATGTCACTTTCACATAGGGTTTACATCTCATTTCTAAGTTGGGTTGGGTTAGGTTGGGTTACATAAAGTTACAACAGTAAACTTATCAACATAAAAGGTGGTAAAAAAGCCTCCTAAGAGAACAGAAAATGGGCCCCCACTTTGTGTGGCTGATATAACTCTTATTATTTTTCAAATTTTCAAGGTGCCATCACCTCCCACCCATTTGATTGTTTTTACAACAGTGCCATAATGTCTGTGGCTAAGAGGATGGGCTGGAAATAGACACGATTTTGTTCATTTTTCAGACCAGAAATGGCTTAAAATGGGAAACTTTTTTTTTTTTTTTTTTTTTTTTTTTGGAGGGAGGGAGGGGGAGGTGTTTCTCAAAAAGGGTAAGAGCCCTACTTCCCCCTCTCTTCGGCTTAACCTTACGTTTGATACATCCTTGAAGAGTTTAGAAAGATTTTCTACTTCCTGAGCCTAGCCTTGGGCCAGAATTACCTGGTGCTTGCTTGGTGAACCAGATGTTGCTGCTGGCAGCCTGCTGGCCCCCATATCCACCACAACTTGATTCCTCTGGCATCTGGTGAAGATACTTGTCTAGTTTCCTCTTGAAGACTTCTACACTTGTTCCAGCACCGTTTCTGATATCTTCTGGTAAGATGTTGAATGGTCTAGAGCCACAGACCTTGATATAATGTTCTCTTGCTATGCCCATGGTGCCTTTGCTTTTCACTGGGTTCATTCTGCACTTCTTCCCATATCTCCCCCAAGTACTTTTCAGGTACACAATATGTTTCTGTCTCTCCTCTGCTCCAGTGACTTTAAGGTGTTCTCAGTAATTTAAATGGTTTATTATCTCTATGTTGGCTGTAAATAGTCTCTGTATCTGTTCCAGTAAGTTTGTTTTATGTTTTTTTTTTATCAGGCCTGGTTCAATTACTGAACAGCCTAAACCATGACCAATTACTGTTTAGTTGTATTTCAATAGCTGAATAAAACTTTGATCTTTTGTGATGAATTCAAAGTGGAAGGCAAGTGTTATATGGAACATGCCTTGGGACACGATTAATGAACAGAGGAAAGGTTGCTATAGTGGCTGGAATGCCTACAGTGTTAACTTTCAATTTTGTATTAAAATTTGTTACGCGTAAAATTAACCAAATTACCAAATTGTGGGTACATTATACGGTAGTTCTGATAGTTGAATGGCAGTTTCATGTGCTTAATAAATGTCACTGGGCTTAATAAATGTCATTGGGCTAAAACAGGCCTCAGTGGGCAAAAAATCACTGATGCATAAATTGCACCAAGGCTGTCAATTTCATGCCTGCATAATTCCATAAGTTCCCATCAAATTTTGCATTTTTTTGTGTAATTACCTTCAGATAAAGATTCTCTAACATCTTAGAAGATGAAATTATTATTATTTAAAAAATCTACAAAGGGTTAAATTTAATTGGAGACCATGCAACTTCTGAGGAAAAAGTTCACTTGTACATACAGATTACTGTACAAATATGTGAATGGATGAGGTGTAGATCATTTGCCAGTGGTCCCCCTCATTTGCAGAGGAATGTTGATTTCAGTGCCACCTCTCGCCCAACATTCGGAACTACCCTTGTAGGGGGTAGGTGACAGGTAAATCAGACACATATGCAACATCTGGGTATCTTTAATGTAGACATTTTGCCAACCAATGACTTTATCAATACAAATTCTAGGGCATAATTTGAAGACAGTAGAACTATATACAAAAGATAAGGTAATCAGTCTCTCAGTCTTGGAGTTGGTGTGAAGATCACCGGAGTCATGAAGAATCTTCTAGCCATGAAGAATCTGGAGATTCTTCATGACTACGGTGCTTTCACACCAACTCCAAGGCTGGGGGACTGATTACTTCATCTTTTGTATATAGTTCTACTGTCTTCAAATTATGTCTTAGAATTTGTATTGATAATGCCACTGGATGGCAAAACATCTACATTAAAGATACCCAGATGTTGCATATGTGTCTAATTTTCATCCTGCTGGTATTGTATACCATTCATGTACAGGTGACAGGTAGTCCAGTAGATTTTATTAGGACACTTGAATACTTGGTTTCCTGAGGCTTGTGAGCATTTGCCCTCTGTGTTACTCAGTTTATTTTAGTGTTGAACCATCTCTTTTCGTAGCTGTTACCTGTCTTGATTTTTTACCCTTATGTGTTAGTGTAACTTAGTAATATTTTATATTTCTCACTTTTAAACTGCCATCAGCCTACTGTGTGAAAACAATGTCCTTTTTGTAATTGCTGTCTTTCTCCCCCTCAGCCCATATGCCAGACTCTTGAGTCACTTGTTTAAGGCAAAGGAGGCTAGGGCTACAAGGCAACAAAGTGTGGTATGAATTCCTTAGGCAACTCCTCCCTCAAATGTTGTGGTGGGCAAGAGCTGCCAGCCTTTACTTAACCTCAGCAAGGCATCTCACCATTGGTGACTGAATTGTGTGCACGTGCACAACTTGAAGTTACACCAAACTAGTCTATAATATATTCATGTAGTCTCACAACCTGCCTCACTACTTGTTGAATAGTGTCCATGTTTTCTGATTCTGACTTTCACATCTCTACATGCAGCGCTCACGGTTTCAAGGTTTACTGAGAGTAATGGCACATAGAACAATACTGTATCCCAATACCTGTGACTGGTTAAAAAGTTTTCTAGCCTTTCTGCCCAACCTGGGGTCACTTCTGGCCCTAGTGGGCTATTGGTGGCCCACAACCATCAAAGCTTGGTTGATCTGGCACTTGGTAGAGGTATTGATTTAGTTTTATTCTTAAAATTTCTACACTTGTTTAGGCAATGTTTCTGATATCTGCTGTAGGAAGAATGAATAGTCTTAGACTACAGATGCTAACACAGTGTTCTCTTAAATGTGCCCATGACACCCTTGTTTTTCAATAGGTCTATTTTATACCTCCTCCCTTATTTCTTAATCCAGTAAACTGTAATGGCAATGTGAAGATTTAGGAAAGAAAGCCCAAATATTTTTCATGAATATTATCATGGGTGTCTCTTTCTGACTACAGTGAGTAAATTGAGATTAGTGTGTTTGTATGTCTGCTATTAGGAGAAGAAAAGGAAAAGGCACCAGGACCATGCATTGGAGTACTGAGCTAGCACTAAGTGAAGCACAGTTAGAGAGAGTAAAAGAATTTCAATGGGAGGGGTAAATGTGGGTTAAATCAAGTGTATAGGAAAGAACTAGAGTGGGTATAAGAATTATGTGGATTAGAATAAAGGTGGGATGCCAGTAGTATATTATAGTAAATGTTTATGCACCTAGGAAAGTGTGTGTAAAGTGAGGTTTTGGAAGACAAAGCGAATGTTTAGGGAGTTTCAAACCATATTAGAAAATTATTGTTGCAGGGGACCTAAATGCTAAACTGGGAGAAACTGTTGTGGAGGGTGAAGAAGGGAAGTTTGGAGTACCAAGAGTAAACAATAAGGAAAGTCCTCTAACTGAATTATGTATACAAAAAGGTTTTAATAATAGGCATTAATTATTTTACAAAAAAAAAAAGATAATAAAAATGTATACAAGATATATAAGTATGATAAGTTATGGCAGGAAAAGAGAGAATATAAATGTATTACTTCAAGGATTATGTGGAGTAAAATAAGGGTTGGATGTGAAAAGTGGGTTATAGTAAGCATTTATGCACCTGGAGAAGAGAGAAGTGTAGAGGAGAGAGAGAGATTTTAGGAAATGTTGAATGAGTGCATGGGGAGTTTTGAACCAAGTGTGAGAGTATTTGTGGTTGGGGATTTCAATGCTAAAGCAGGTAAAAATGTTCTGGTGGGAGTAATAAGTAAATCTGGGGTGCCAGAGTAGTAGGTAAATCTGGGGAGATGGAGGTATTGGGCAGAATGCGAGAATATTTTGAGGAACTTTTAAATGTCGATGAAGAAAGGGAGGCGGTAATTTCATGCACTGGTCAGGGAGGTATAACATCTTTTAGGAATTAAGAAGAGCAGGATTTAAGTGTGGGGAGGTGCGTGAGGAATTACGTAGAATGAAAGGGGGTAAAACAGCTGGAACTGATGGGA